TGCACAAGCGGGAGGACAACGACGTGCACCTCTGACACAACCGAAACAGCCTGTTAACAGAGGTACCGCCAAAGAGTTCTGGATCCAAGACAGAAACTGCAGATAAAGCTTCTCAGGCAGCACCTTCCGTGCCAGGTATTCATTGCCGAGCCCCACCTACCCGACCAAAGCCAGGTGGCATGCACAAGACATGCCGACGCTTGCCACTACGAGCGGGTCGCAGTCTCTGTACTCCCTCTGCTAACCAACTGCAAACTTCACCCAAACATGTCTGTGCCCCGGGGTGATCCTCCCCGCACCCCCTCACCAGCTCAGGTAGGGTTTGCAGAGGCACAGCCAGACAGCAAAAGAGCTCCCAGCATTTTTTAAGAGCTCTTGCAGAGCAGCCAACAGTGCTGGGCACCCTGTTCCAGGGCAGACAGGCATGGGGAGTTTCAGACAAGGCATGGTTCCTTCCCCATGTATGGTTTTAGGACAGCATGGTGGGAAGTTACCCGTCTCCAAAAATACACATCTGCATTTGCAGAGGCTAAGGATCACACATTGCACTTTTCAACATTAGTTTGTACATGCTGACCAGCAACAGCAGTAATTTCACGAAAAGCCAAAAGAGAATTGTACTCAAAAGGGGCTTCTTCATGAGTTCCTCCTCTCATTTTTAACAGCGCTGCAACAGTAGTGTACATCACACAACTCTGTTGTTTAAAAGCCAGGTTGGTCCTTCCAACCTCTAAGAGTCCTCTACTCAAAATGCCAAGTTATATATAATAAAGATCAGGCCAGGCGCACGAAATGAGCAATACTATTACAGGCTTTTTTTTTCTTTTTTTAAAATAGTAACTTTAGCTTCAGAAGAAAAGCCTCAGAGCAGACTACAGGCCCTCTAAGGCCCATTCTCACTGAAGCTGGTTGCCTTTCCTTCTGCGTCTGGCAGTAAGCCCCAGAGCACCCTGCGTGCTCATGACAGACCAAGATGCCAGATCTTTCCTTCCAGTTAAGCCACTTTCCAATGTTAACCCACTAGTGTGTTCGTTTCCTCAGTGCAGCAATTAGCTGTGTTGTCTTCCTTACTCCTGGCACGCACGTACGCATCCCACAACCCGTCGTGACACCACATCAGCACTCACATCATCCCTGTCAGACAGGAGAGGCAGGCTCAGCCCTCCGTTATTCATCTTATTTTCCAGGGTAATCATAGAATCATTCAGGTTGGAAAAGACCTTTAAGATCATCAAGTCCAACTGTTAACCTAACCCTGCCATCCCACCACTAAACCATGTCCCTAAGCACCTCATCTATCCTTCTTTTAAATACCGCCAGGGAGGAGGACTCTACCCCCTCCCTGGGCAGCCCATTCCAGAGCCTGACAACCCTTTCGGTGAAGAAGTTTTTCCTCATGTCCAATTTCAACCTCCCCTGGAGCAACTCGAGGCCATTTTCCCTCGCCCGTTACCAGGGAGAAGAGGCCGACCCCCACCTCGCTACAGCCTCCTGTCAGGTAGTTGTAGTGATAAGGTCTCCCCTCAGCTTCCTCTTCTCCAGCCTAAACAACCCCAGTTCCATCAGCTGCTCCTCATAAAACTTGTGCTCCAGACCCCTCACCAGCTTTGTTGCCCTTCTCTGGACACGCTCCAGCACCTCAATGTCCTTCTTGTAGGGAGGTGCCCAAAACTGAACACAGCATTCAGAGGTGCGGCCTCACCAGTGCCGAGTACAGTTGGACAATCACTGCCCTACTCCTGCTGGCCACACTATTCCTGATACAGGCCAGGATGCCATTGGCCTTCTTGGCCACCTGGGCCCACTGCTAGCTCATATTCAGGCGGCTGTCAAGTACCCGGAGATCCCTCTCTGCCAGGCAGCTTTCCAGCCACTCTTCCCCAAGCCTGCAGTGTTGCATGGGGTTGTTGTGACCAAAGTGCAGGACCCGGCCCTTGGCCTTGTTGAACCTCATACAGTTGGCCTCGGCCCATCGATCCAGCCTGTCCAGATCCCTCTGCAGAGCCCTCCTCCCCTCGAGCAGATTGAGACTCCCACCCAGTTTGGTATCATCTGCAAACTTACTGAGGGTGCACTTAATCCCTTGTCCAGGTCATTGATAAAGTTGTTAAACAGAACTGGGCCTAAACCTGAGCCCTGGGGGACACCGCTTGTTACCATCTGCCAACTGGGTTTAACTCTGTTCACCGATGCCCTGATAAGGCTAGCATGAAGCAAGCCAGGTGGGGAAGGAAGGAAATGGCTCTACCTATGTATTTATATACACAGAAGCAGGTGTCCCAGGTAATTTTGGAGCTGTCATTCTGGAGAGAGATCCGGACTGGGGCAAAGAGGTAGCAGAAGGAACTGACTGTTTCAAGCAGACCAGTCCCCTCCCTCCGCTGCTAGAGAGCTTTCTCAGAGACCACCAACATTAGGCAAACTCATCACAAACTCACAGGTTAGAGGTGCTCAACAGCAGTGCCAGGCTCTGTAAAAAGCAGCCAGCAAAGTCCTGACTCTTACTACAACACAGAGGATGATGACATTTGCATACAGGCAACAGCTTTTGGAGACAAAAATCTGAATAGTATGTCTAGCCAGAAGCCAAAATGAATTGCTAGCAAGCCACTCACACCTGTAGCAAAAAAGATGAAGACCTGACTGTTGAAAGATTTAAGCCCTTGAACTCATTAGCATTATGCCTCAGAACATCTGAATAAAATGAGCTCTTGCTTTCTGCCTGAACACGACTTCAGCTGGGGGTATCATCTTGTGTAAAAGGATTTCTAAAGGAGGTTTCTTTTAGATATGTCCTCACCATTTAATCCAGTTACCCTCTGTGTAACTGAGAATGACCCAGAACAGGGCGGGTGGAATCAGGTCTCTGCATCACCTTAGGTTTTGCTGCCGCTGTTATTCAGTAGCTTTTTATACTTGCAGAAATTAGCCCAAGGTGGGGTTTCTTAATACTAGATACAAGTAGCTGCAAGTTTTATAAATTTCAAACTTCATCCCAATGGAATGATATTCCACTCAGGCAGGCTAACCAACAGTCAGATGCACTAAGTGACCCTGAAACGCCTCCCGCTCTTTAGCAGATTATTTCACTGTCAATTCAATTCATATTGTTAGTTTTCATCCTAAAAGGCGTCCAAGCGCAGCTGAAGCGTTGTGATTTTTACTCTGGGCACAGGTAGTATTTTACAGACCATTAAAAAAAGAAAGAGAACAATGAATCTCCAGTCTGAAGATCAAGATTCAGACTTCTTATTCCTGATGGAGCTGAAGAGTACTTTCAGCCAGATGCAGTACAGCAGAGGTGTCTGTCGCTGTACGGCAGACCCGACAGCTCCAAACGGGATCACGGCGAGGGAACAGAGCAGAGATTCTTCCCGGCGAGAGCGCCAGCGACCGGACAAGTCACGGGAGCCAGCGCTGGCAAGAGACCGGCTGCAGGCACAAACAAGTAGCTCAGATTTCATCAAATGAAAGGCAGTAAACAGCCAAGACACTTTCTAATATTTACTACAATAATTTGCTACTAGGGGGAAAAAAAAAAATATGTAAGATCAGTACTCCGACTCTATTCCAGGCGTATCTGCCAACAGAACCAGGCATTCTCCTATCGGTTCAGGGAAACTACAGGGAAATACAAAAAAACACAATACGATCCATAATCTGCTTCCACTTAAATATTAACCAGCAGCGATGATAACCACCACTCCATTTGCATTAAAAGATTAGTTAAAGCGTATCCCCCAGGGGGAAGGCCCCACAGAAACACAGGGTTTCTGCATGGCATTTTCATAATCCGCCTGTAAGAGGAGAGACGGTAAAAGCCCGGCTGCAAACTCAACGCTCCTTGATCCATTTGCTCTTTTTTTTAAGAACTTTATTTTAAGCTGAGTAACAGCACTTGACCCTCACAGATTACTCATTAGCTACAGGAAGTTCAGCTGCATCAAACCCAAAAGGAAAAGAGTCTACTTTATCTGAAGGTAACAGCAGCAGTTTAGGTGCAGAGGCTAAAATTAGCAGGCTCCAATTAAAACCTTCAGAGAGGCTCTTCCCTTTCCTTTCATATTCCCAGCAAACGAACTATGAAGTATCAGCAAAGAGCATGCAAAACGCAAATTCTGCTAAAAAGTACATCTTTCTTCAATGTAGGTAATATCAATACAGCATCTTCTACAATGCAGAAGCTGACTGCGGAGCCTTGCAAGAGAGACTACAGGCACTGCTGCTGCTTTCATTCCACTGGATTTTAAAAGTTTATCAAAAAAAAAAAAAAGAGCAGGCTGAGACCACCTCAAACCAAAAAAGTACATAGAATATATGGAGAGCCACCATATTTAATCACTCTTTCAAGGTCTTAAGAGCAGAGAAGCTCTGGGAAGAGCAGTAACTTACTCTCCAGTTTGACACAGTGAGGAGTCTCACGCCCCGCGGCACTGGGGCTGGGCTGCTCAGCACCCTGCCGCACGTGGGGGGTCCTCCAGCCCAGCTGCTGCTGGTCCAACAAAAACCAACTTTGCAACATGCTCGGTCATCCTTGTTTTAAACGGTTTCTCAATTGCATAAATTGCTTTTTTTTTTAAATCCATAACCACATTTATTTCCACTTTAGTCTTACATCTCCTCCTGTATGCTTATACTCCCAGTTTATTAATCCCTCCTGACAGTGAATAAACCTGCTGCTAAAAGACTCGTCAGAAAAAAAACCCAAAACAGCCGCCCTATTTTCTGTCACCCTTGAAGGCCCCCAGTTAAAGAAAATTAAACACATAGACTTGAAGCTACACCATATATTTGTAAATAAAATAATTTGACAGAACAAGATTACAAAGTATGAAATGAGCCCTTTCAGGAATTGGTAAGTACAAGAGAAGTCGATGTTAAGTCCATTTTGTAAAGTTTTAAAGAAATACAACTGAGGGATAGGAGTATTACCATAAACCCCCCCCCCCCCCCCAATGCTTTCTCAAAAAGCTTGGGCCATATACATAAGTTTCAGGTTAAAAATCTCCCCCCCACGCATTGGTTTGGTTACAGCTTCAGGGATCAGTGCAGCACAGTGCAAGTTTCATTCACAGATAAAAAGATATTTGAAGTAGGTACAAGAACATTCTGCAAAATATAGGATGTGATCTAACTCTCGTCAACCCTTTTTGCACCCCCTAGAAAGTGCTGAGAAGCAAGCACAGCATACAGAACCATGGGGGAAAGCACACAAGGAGATGGACTCTTTAACAAGACCAGTTAATATTTGACAGCTTAAGAAAGAAGAAGCAATTGCATGAGGAAGAAGATTGTTAGTCGTTAGAAGGTATGTACAAGGGAGGTTTGTACTTTGATTCTGTAGAAAAACCGAAGCTGACAAGTCTCCATTCCTGAAACATAAATATTGAGTAAGAGAGGTAAAAAAGAGAGTCAGCACTATTAGCTGAAAGTGCCTTTTCAGAACAGCCCATGTGCCCCCGCTGCAGGTCATCAGTCCCTCTTCTTTCAAGGAATAGGTATATGAACTCTGTATTTCAGCAGTGTCTTTGAGTACATACCAGTGTTTATTGCTTATCTGGCAATTTTACACAATCTTCCTGGTCCCTAGTCTCCATCAGAGAGCGTTTTCCCCTTTTTATGTTTATTTCAAAGCAGATCAAATACTCTTCAGTGCTTTTAAAGAAAGGAAAAAAAACCCACTAGACTTTTTTTTTTAGAAATTGCCCAAGCTAAAAATATTAACACAATTTTCACCTGAAGCAATGTATTGCAGTCTATTAACGTAGAGTGCCTCCCTGCAGATACTAAGTGCATCTTTAGCGACCAGAAATCACACAGAGGGCTACAGCTTAAGTGCTCTGCTAATTTTTATAAAACAATTATGACTGACATTTACAGCATACAGAATGGGAGACTAGTGCAATATGCAGCATCGATTGTTTATTCAATAAATATTTAACCCAATTATTGCCAAACAAGGCAAACAGTGCAGAAATTGTCACTTAGAGAGATACAAAAGTTTAACATTTTTTTTCTATAAAGTCAGTTGCTACTATATTCATACAACTATTTCAAAAAGGGTTTTCTGCTTCAAAGTTGACACTACCATTATAAAAATATAGAAACATAGCATTTGGGGGTTTAACATGTCTTTGCAAGTCTTTTACATTTGTATAGGAACATGACATTTCTGTATTCAAAAACTTATTAAAAGTAAAAATGAATACTATGGTAGAGACATTTTCTGCACTGACAATTTCATTACAGTTCTTAAATACATCTTTCTTGGTCCTGGGTGTACATTTAGAACGAAATTAACTTGCATCTCACATTTATCCTGAGGTCAGCTGTGTAAAAAGGAAAGCCAATTTTATAAGGATACTCACAGGCTTTTTGTTCAAAATACGAGGTTAACCAAGCCAATAAAACTCCTGGTGAAAAAACAAACCCAACCCTCTCACCAATGTTTTAAGGAACGATTTAGTGTCATTTTTGGGAATTATTTCCAAAGATATATAGGCTACCACATCCAAATGCTATCTATATTTATTTACTAAAACTTCAGTATGCATTTGCCAAATTTGAAACTCTCAAACTGTTCTGAAAAGAAAAAAAAAAAACAAACCACCAACTTATAAATCCCTGTGAAGAGTCACCCTAAGCTTCTCATCTCAAGATCCTGACCCGCAATGCGACTCCTGCAAGGAGAACCCCGCTGAAGCCTGTGGGAATCTGCAGAGTCTTCGGGTCTGCCTGCACGGGTGAGGACACGCGATGCGGATCTCCATCACCACTGCAGGGTACAGTTATGACCTTGTCAAAGCTCCACTTTGAACACAGCAGTTATTTTTCGATAGCACCAACAATCTCGCAGATACCAGCATCAGGCAAATACAGACAACATAGAATAGGTTTGTTTCTTCCTGAATCAGCACAATTGGTACAAGGCACTGCTTGGCATAGGAAGTCATAAATAAGAGCAAAACAAGACAATTTCCAACTTTTGTGACATATAAGTTTGTAAGTTATGTCACATTCCAACTTATTACATACCATGGTTAAAAAAACAAGATGGTCTAAGGGATTAACCAAAACATCACTGTTCCATGCATGCTTACAGTTTTCCTCCCCGTATCTGAAAAAACCCACATAACATATCAATATGAAACATTAGGAAGTATGGGTTATTAAATTAAGAAAGTACATTTTATTCTCCAATCTTCCACAAAAGTCTAGCCTAGACAGAACTCAAGTATAAGAAGTTGGAAAATACTCTGGTAACATTTGCAACAGTCTATCCCTGCAGAGGAGTGAAAAACCTATTGTCTAGAGAATTCATAGATTGAGGCACATCGCAGTCGGAGATATTCAGGCATATTTCATGGCTAGAACAGGATTTTTCTGAGGAACCTCGCTACAGACTTCCCTAAAAGCAGCTCCATATGGTTCAAAACACAAATTGCAACACGTGGAAAAAACGTTTGGTCTTTAATCACTACTGTCTTCGTCATCATCATCATCAGATACATCATTTAAAGATGATTTAGGTGACTGGCTGTAGGAGTCTGATCTAGTGGACTGACAAGTAGTCATCTCCCCAGTAGAAAGAAGGTCATAGCAGAAGTCGCAAATGCGCACAGGTTTGGAAGACTGGCTCGGGAGAAGAAACCTCTTTTCAGAGCAAGGCCCGCACACAACAAAGCCGCACTTGCGACAGTGGTGACGACGGTTGACAGGCGTAAATTTTGCTTTCTGACAGCGCATGCATACAGTGGCTTCTGAGTCTGGTACCCAGACAGCTGCGTGTTCATTGCTAGGAGTCTTCCCGCTTTTGGAAAGCAAATCAGAGACACACTTATTTATGTGGTTCATCCACTCAGACTTCTCTGTAGCAGTGGCAGCGTAAACCGCAAAAGATTTTGTTGGTGTCTTGATAAGCCACCCGTTCCTTAAGTCTCCCTCATCCTGGATGGAATCAATAGTAACGTCTTCCAGTGGGATTATGTGCTGTTTATTGTATTTCTTCTTCTGGATGACAATGTTACCGTAAACAAGAATGTCATTGAACAGGAAGAACTGCCTTGCTTTGGGCTTCTTCCTACACAGCTTTGTTAGTACTCCTTCTCCGATCAGAACACGACCAGGAATAGTCAGAGGTTGACCAGCTGCTCCAAAGCAGTTTTCCACTATACTTATTCTTCTAGTATTTGCCTCACTGTTTGCCAAGCGATCCACCATCTTTCACAAGTATCCTAAAATTAGAAAAAAAAAAAAAGTTTGTTGTTAGAACAGGACTAATTCAACAGCAGCCTTTCCCAAGGAAGGTACCAACCCCGCATTTCTTAAAATATCTACAGAACCCACTGGCTCAGAGGCACCAACTTGGGCTAGATTTAAATAAGTATTAACACCTAAGAATTTTTAGCAACCAATTAGTCTTTTTTTTTGAAAGCAAAAATGTTCCACCCAGCTGACAGCTATCTTTATCACACAGACAGCACCTACAGCACTGCTCTTGAGAGCCTCTGGCAACAGCCTAGGAGGCATCCCCTCTAGTAACATTACTGCATCCTGGTTTAATGCTCATATTTCTCTGTTTATCTTCCTGCACCTACTCTCTGGATGGCAAAAGAAAGTAATCACCCACCATTCCAAATTCTAATACTGACAGAAACATCAACTTAACTGAGCAGCTTTGATATCCACATCAGCGTTAACATGACAAACAAAGGTTATATAATTGATGTTCACATAGGAAAACCACCATACCCAAGTTCAGCATTGCTCTTTTTTCAGCACGTAAACCTTAAATCACAGGCCAAAACCACAAATCTACCTACTAGAAACATTTTGTACAGCTGCAGCTTGCACCCCCCACCACCCGCTTTCATGGCAAACTCCTGAGCCAGGAACGAGTCATGGCTGGCGGCCCATCGCCTGCTTCCTGCTGCCTTCTTTTTGCAGGGGCCTCACAGTCCTTCCCTCCTCGCCTACTCGAACCACATCTGCAACAGTCACGATCAGGCGACATACACAGGCAGACCAGCACAGAGGACAAGTCACGCAGCTTGCAACCGCTCCTGAGAAAGACTAAGCGAGCTGCACCGGCTGGAAGTTTAGGCAAGGCGGCTTCGTATTTCAGGAAGTTGATGTACTCTGTAGTTGCTATGTTCCAGTTACGGATGAAAACTGCCCCTCGTCCTTCCTCAAGTAGCAAGTAAGATTTTCTCTTATAAGGGTTAAGATTCCTACAGCATCCAACAGGGAACTGAAAACAACAAGTTACTATAGTGATTCATAGCTTGGCAAACCACTCTTTAGCCTATCTTTTACCCTAGAGCTTCGCAGGCAGAAGTCAGGCAGAGGAAACCCCTGCCAGTCCAATCCAGACCTGCTCCCCCCAAGCTCCTCCTGAGTACAGCCATGAACCTGAACCGTGTGCTTGACAGAGCAGCGAGGCAGCTGGCAGAGGCGAGTACTACAGCCAGACCATGCAGAAGACAGCTCTCCCGTGCCTTCCTTTCCAGCTACTGCAGGGCTGATGCTCACAACACCCTTTGGTAGAAACCACGGCTTTGAACAGGCCTGAAGGAGAACAGAGTAGCAAATACTCCAGTGCTGGTTACCTGCATTTCCCAACATGACCCCAGTTTGGGAAGTCCTCTACATTCACCTACCTTTTCTTTTAGATCTATGCTGCCTGCCATCAACACAGCATCAGCCTATAACCAAGATGAAACTGGGCCGAAACAAGGCTCAGACTTCATGCTGCCCAGACTCTCTTGCTCTGCCATAACCAGATCCAGTCAATCTCCTTCCTATAAATCAAAGCTCAGATACCTCCTTACGAAACAGGGATGAAACTTGTTGACAGAAAATTGGTGGCAAAGAAATCTCTCATCAGGCCTCATCTAAATAAGTATGTTACCCACAATTACACAAATCCACATGCCTCATGTTAAGTGTGATTAAAAAAAATAACTTGTAAGTTACTGCTTTGAGAGTATCTGCAGAAGGTCAAGACAAAACACAAACTGACTTATAAAAAGGGTTCGAGAGATTTAAGTGTGCTGCACCAAGGCACCCAAGCAAGTACACCTATGCCATTTCCACCAGGTATCAGCCAAACCTTAAAAAAAAAAAAAAAAAAAAAAAAAAGGCTGACCTCCTCCATTACCTTGACCAGCGGCTCCCCAACTGATTAGTTAGAAAGTATTTTTTAACAGTAAGCTTAAGTCATCCTTGCTGCAAACCAAGTATTTCTTTTTGTTCTTCAGAGTAACCATCAATACCTTCTTCACTAAGATTTCTGAGGGCTGAAGTGGTTGTTACTTATCTCTAGAGACAAGACTAAGAGTCCAAGTAGAAGGGAAAAAGAAGTACACACAACAAAAAACCCCTGTTATTTCCATCTCCTTCACCAGCCCTACTTTTCTGAATCGTTACTCTTGTCAAGGTTCTCAAATACTTGTCCATCATTCCTTTTAAGACATGCCTGCAAACGGACACTGTACTAAATCCCTAAATCCTTCTGCAGCACCAAACTTAGCTGATACGGTTCTGCTTTGTTTCCCTCTGTGGCGATACCAATTTATGCTATCTGCAACCCCCACCCCTGCTCCCTTGTGCCATTACAAAAGCTACACAGTGAATTACATCAGAGCGCTGATCAAGTTGAGACCAAACCAGAATTTTAGGGGTTGGCAGCAGAGCTGCAGTGGAGGGAGAGAATGGAAGGATAGGAAGGGAGGTGCTTAGACAGTGCCCTGCATAGAAAGTAAGTTGGCTTAAACTGGTCAATAAACAGAAGTATTACAGTATTTTATTTTCCTCCCAGAGAACAGCAGAAGACTTAACTTATTTCAGTAGATTCATTTTTTTTTTAAATGCTGTAACTATACAGGCATATCCAAAATATACCTTCCAACAGACACCTTGTTCCTTTCAAGCATTCCAAAGCACCACTCCTAACTTACACACATGGACACACACAATTCCCACCTTTACAAGTTTTATTCAGCATTAAGATCTAGCCACCTTTTTTTTTTTCTTAAATATACACCTTCCAACTACCTACTGCCACATGGCAAGTAGGCACAACACTGGCAAGTCAGAGTGAGTTCTTCAGGTAAGCGATCGGCTTCACTTCTACTACAGCCTTGTCTCATGCAGAGGTGCCACTCCACAGAAATGCTACTGCCTTGTCCCAGCTATTATCTCTCTATCTACCAAGGAGAAAGTACTAAGGAGGGAATGCAAAAGATAAACTAGGAACATTTTGATGTATATTGGCTGTAGTCTTAGGCTCAAAAATCAAATTCAGGTGCCTGACTACCAAAGCCCAGGATTTGGAATGAGGGTTAATTGCCATTAACTGCCAGATAACCATATTCCCATCTAACAACATACTAGCAATAAGCAACCTTTGCCAGTGCCGAAGCTGAACCAACAGCCACTTTGGACCTAGAAAGCAAGGAGTCAGTCACAGGGTCAGTCTAAAGTTATTCAGTAACCCCATGTTCCCTGTGAAGCAGGAAGGAAGTCAGTCAGCAGAGTGCAAAGGGGACAGACCAGGAGAATACACTTTTCTGCAGGTACTAAATCAATATGCATTACTTCTAAACTTACATTTTCATACGAATTATCTGCAAGTTACAGCAAATTAAATGCTTTTGCTAGTCCACAAGGGAGAAGCGTGTGTCATCATGGTCCCGTGTTGTCCGCCACCCGTCCGTCCCCCCCCCAAACCCCACAATCATACTGATGAGTTTCAGGGAAGCAAGCTCTGGGTGTGAAGTTACAGCGACCTGTAGGACGCCCTCGACTGTAGGAAGCCCTCGCTGATCCACAACCCCAGCTCAGCGCACTCTGCGCTCCCTGCCAACAAACAGGGGGGGGGGGGGGAAGGCTAAAGGTTTTAATTAAGTGTTCTCTAGGACAACCTAAGAGAAAACAACTCTAACCAGGATCGTTTAATAATCATCATGGCTTGAAACCAAGACACATGACTCCAGAACTTGTGCTGAAGACTGTACTTTCAGCTTGTTGTGAAAATAGTCACTTACTGGACTTAAAGCAAGAATCTGAGGCAAGTTAAGGACTATTAAGAAAGACAAGATAATCGTATCTCTTCTAGCTTGAAAGTTTTGTCTATAACATTCATCAAATTCTCACCTACCAGCCCCAATTAAGGTAGTAAAAGCCACAGGCTGCTGATGGATTATTCCACCTTTCAAGAGGATGAAATGTATTTTCCCACACTAATAGATTAGACTTTTTAACACAAGCACTGACATTTTTCCCATAAGTTTTTAGAGAACTAAAAATTTAAAATCCATCTGAAATCTTATGCACCCTAATGCTCATTCACCTTCACTAGACTTTTCTAAGAAAGGAAGTTGAGAAACGGATCATGATAAACTACCTGGAAAGCATCAAGATTACAAATAATAATGAAACATGGGAAAAACAGACCAGGAATACAAAAGAGAAGCCATCCCTAAGTCACAAGAGCTAAAGCTAGGAGAAGAGGTGCACAGCCTTCTCATGAGCACACAGACCAAGGAGATGTTAAATTAAAACATCATCTGGACACACAAAGGAACTTTGAACCCCAAGATGTCACAGTCCTACTGCTATGCAAAGTTATCCATTACCAGTCTTCTAAAATTGTAAGAACCTTTTCTTAATGCATGTTCAGATATATTGTAAAAGATAACAGATCATACCCTGGAACCAGGTGGCAATATCCTCCTCTCCGCCAGCTAAAACTTTCTTCTGAAGTTTCTACTGTTGGTGACTATAAGAAGCAGATACTGGATTATGGTCCCCAAGACCTGATCAAACCAAGCAATTCCTGAGTGATGGCAAATTGCTGAAAACATGCGCCAAATCTTCCCCAAAGCAAGTGAGGAATAAACCAGAAACATGGGCTTCAAAGTGACAGACTAGACAGCTCCACTTAAGGGGAGAGCGGGAACATCTTACACAGAGTCTTGGTTTATGGATGTTATGAAGTCAAAAACCTCAAACCTATTGTTCAGACTTTTAACACATTCGATTCCAGTTTCACTTTTTGCACACAAACTCCCAAAGGTCTCCAGGCCTTTATGCAAGGACTCCTCCATTTGACTATAAGGACCATCATCACAGCAGATTAATTTTCTGTTTCCAGACTGCAGCATACTACTAGCTGCTAGTCAAAACACTGTAAAAATAAACAGATCACCTTGTAAGAAAAATTAGCT